AAAACTATTATGTTCAGAAATAAGTTAATAAAATATTCTTTCCATGAAACAGAAATTGGGCAGGAAAAGGTTTGCTAATATTCAGGAGGGCTAATAATTCTGACTTCAACTGTATACATACAGTTATTTTCCACCCTGCAATGGAAAGAGAAATAAATACAATAGAATAAAAAAATGAAACAAACTGTGCTTTAAGCATCTTCACTGTAACAAAAACACTTTAGCTACAGCATTCCTTCAGTCAAGAGCAGCAAAGGTTTTCTCGTTATGTTTGTTTAATAATAATAAAAACAGGCGGCAGAAGGATTATAGCGCGCTGTATCTTTAATGGTTTCTCTTTCACGTCTTTTGATCCTCAACTCGTTTGTTTATTACACAAATTAGGGTTAATGTAAATAATCACTAAACACCGCGTTTTGACACCTATTTGACCATTAAAGCGTTCACGTTAAGATGACTTTAGATGTCTGCGCTCCTCTGCTCGTCTCAGTGTGCGAATGAGAGTGAATGCTGACCGGCCGCATATGCTTCTGACTGCGTGATCGTGCTGCACACACACATAAGCTCTTTCGCGCTTTTAAGAGCAACACGTGTACAACTGTGGCGAAATATGATGCAATAATCATTTATCTCGATTAATGCTTTTTATAATCGTTTGAAACCGAAATCTAAATCGGATTTTCGATTAATTGCAAAGCCCTTTATAATAGTGGACCATTTTTATGCCTTTTTCTACCTCAATACTTATCCTCTCCCGCGCCCCCCCTGTGAACTCTGGCGCCCCCCTTAGGGGGGCGCGGACCCCAGGTTGGGAACCACTGCTCTAGGCTATAGTTTTTAAAAGCAGATGTTGGTCTAGGCTATTTTTTAAACAGCCGGTGGCGCTCTAAGCTAGTTTTGAACAGCAGAAGCAAACTTTTTTTTTTAACAGCAAATGGCGCTATTAGCTAGGCAGCGCTCTAAGCTAGTTTTTAACAGCAGATGGCGCTCTAGGCTAGTTTTTAACAGCAGATGGCACTCTATTACAGTTTTTAACAGTAGATGATGCCCTAGGTTAGTTTTTTACAGCAGATGGTGCTGTATTCTAGTTTTTACAAGTAGATGAAGCTCTAGTCTAGTTTTTAACAGCAGATGGTGATCTAGGCCAGTTTTGAACAGCAGATGGCGCTCTAGTCTAGTTGTGTGTCTGCTAAATGCACACCTACGAAGGAATGCCAATAAGCTTAGGGTTATTTCCAACCGAGGTGCACGGCTTGCGCTTGCAAATAGGAAGCGACAGGCTCGCTTGGTGTTTGGTATTGACACATCAAATCAAAATAACACACACAGAAATCAGTGAAAATAAATGTTTACGAATTCGATGATGCATTGATAAGGGATTTTTAAAATTTAGCGCTAATCACTCTTGAATTGATTCGGAGCTTAGTTTGAGCAAAAGATGGTGCTCTAAGTTAGTTTTTAACAGCAAATGGCTCTCTAAGCTAGTTTTTAACAGCAGATGGCACACTAGGTTATAGTTTTTAAAAGCAGATGTCGCTCTAGGCTATTTTTTAAACAGCTGGTGGTGCTCTAAGCTAGTTTTGAACAGCAGGTGGCAAACTTTTTATTTAGCAAATGACGCTCTTAGCTAGACAGCGCTCTAAGCTAGTTTTTAACAGCAGATGGCGCTCTATTAGTTTTTAACAGCATATGATGCTCTAGGTTAGTTTTTTACAGCAGATGGCGCTCTATTCTAGTTTTTACAAGTAGATGGTGCTCTAGTCTAGTTTTTAACAGCAGATGGTGCTCTAGGCTAGATTTTAACAGCAGATGGCGCTCTAAACTACTTCTGAACAGCGGATGGCACTCCTGGCTAGTTATTAACAGCAGATGACACTAAGCTAGTTTTTTAACAACAAATTGTGCTCTAGGTTAACTTTTAACAGCACATGGTGCTCTAGGCCAGTTTTTTTTACAGCAGATGGCGATCTAGGCTAGTTTTTAACAGCAGATGGCCCTCTAAGGAAGTTATAACAGCAGAAAGTGCTCTTGGCCATTTTTAAACAGCAGATGGTGTTCTAAGCTTGTTTTTTAACAGCAGAATTGAACTCGATGCTAGTTTTTAAAAACAGTATGGCTCTCCAGGCTAGTTTATAAACAGCAGAATGGTGCTCTAGACTAGTTTTTAAATGGCAGATGGCGCTCTAAGCCAGTTTTTAGAAGCAGATGGTGCACTAGTTTAGTTTTTTAACAGCAGATGTGCTCTGAGTCAGTTTTTAACAGCAGATGGCGCTATTAGTTTTAAACAGCATATGATGCTCTAGGTTAGGTTTTTACAGCAGATGGCGCTCTATTCTAGTTTTTACAAGTAGATGGTGCTCTAGTCTAGTTTTTAACAGCAGATGGTGCTCTAGGCTAGATTTTAACAGCAGATGGCGCTCTAAACCAGTTTTGAACAGCAGATGGCACTCCAGGCTAGTTATTAACAGCAGATGACACTCTAAGCTAATTTTTTACAACAGATTGTGCTCCAGGCTAACTTTTAACAGCACATGGTGCTCTAGGCCAGTTTTTTTTTTTACTGCAGATGGCGCTCTAGGCTAGTTTTTAACTTCAGATGGCCCTCTAAAGCAGGTCGCACACCAGAAGCGCCGCTCGGCGGCGCGCCGCGCAGCGCCACGCAGCGCCATGTATTTTAGAATTCTAAACATAGGTTTCTATCAGGATACACACACCGGCGCCGCAAGTCGGCGGCTGTCGGCGGCGCCCGGCGACGGCTCAGGACGCAGTTCATTTTTCAGCCGCGCCACAGAGCGCCATCTGATTAGTTTCATGTTAAATATCATTCGAATGTGCGCGTCTGGTGTGTGATACCTTAAACTGTCATGTACGCGCCGTGTCGCGGCGCCGAGCGGCGCTTCTGGTGTGCGACCTGCTTAAGGAAGTTATAACAGCAGATAGTGCTCTTGGCCATTTTTAAACAGTAGATGGTGTTCTAAGCTTGTTTTTAAACAGCAGAATTGAACTCAAAGCTAGTTTTTAACAACAGAATGGCTCTCCAGGCTAGTTTATAAACAGCAGAATGGTGCTCTAGGCTAGTTTTTAAATGGCAGATGGCGCTCTAAGCCAGTTTTTAGAAGCAGATGGTGCACTAATTCAGTTTTTAACAGCAGATGGCGCTCTATTAGTTTTTAACAGCATATGATGCTCTAGGTTAGTTTTTTACAGCAGATGGCGCTCTATTCTAGTTTTTACAAGTAGATGATGCTCTTGTCTAGTTTTTAACAGCAGATGGTGCTCTAGGCTAGTTATTAACAGCAGATGACACTTTAAGCTAGTTTTTAACAACAGGTTGTGCTGTAGGCTAACTTTTAACAGCACATGGTGCTCTAGGCCAGTTTTTTTTTTTACAGCAGATGGCGCTCTAGGCTAGTTTTTAACAGCAGATGGCCCTCTAAGGAAGTTATATCAGCAGATGGTGCTATTGGCCATTTTTAAACAGCAGATGGTGTTCTAAGCTTGTTTTTTAACAGCAGAATTGAACTCTAGGCTAGTTTTTAACAACAGAATGGCTCTCCAGGCTAGTTTATAAACAGCAGAATGGTGCTCTAGGCTGGTTTTTAAATAGCAGATGGCGCTCTAAGCCGGTTTTTAGAAGCAGATGCGCACTAGTTTAGTTTTTTTAACAGCAGATGTGCTCTAAGCCACAGAGCAAAATGGCGCTCTAGGCTAGTTTTCAACAGCAGAATGGTGCTCTAGTCAAGTTTCAAACTGCAAAATGTGCTCTAGGCTAGTTTTTAAACAGCAGACAGAGTTATAGGCTCGTTTTTTTACAGCAGAATGGTGCTCTAGGCTAGTATTGAACAGCAGGTGGCGCTCTAGGCTAGTTTTTAAACATCAGATGGCGCTATAGAATAGTTTTGAACAGCAGGCGGCACTCTAGACTGGGTGGCATGGTGACTCATTGGTTAGTACTATCACCTCTCACAGCAAGAAGATTCCTGGTGACATCAGACAGTGCTCTAGTCTTGGCTAGTTTTGAACAGCAGACGGCGCTCTAGACTGGGTGGCATGGTGACTCATTGGTTAGTACTATCACCTCACAGCAAGTAGGTTCCTGGTGACATCAGACAGTGCTCTAGTCTTGGCTAGTTTTGAACAGCAGACGGCACTCTAGACTGGGTGGCATTGTATGGGGACTCATTGGTTAGCACCATCACCTCACAGCAAGATGGTTACTGGTTCAAGCTCGTTATTCAAAATATTGTGTGATAAATAGACTTAAACATCAAAGTAAATATCTAGCATAAAATGAGAAGAAAGGTTGTTGCAGGCAAATGCTGAAATCCATTAAAAGTACTGTGGTAAAATAAATGTCCATATTTTAAAGACATGAAGCCTAACAATGGAATGTAATTCAGTGTTTCTTGTCAGGTTTGAGACCCACTTCATAGTTGTATCTCAATCAGGCAGTGTAGACGGATTTTGAACAAACTAGATCTTAAATGTGGCGAGTTTATAATGGCATGACAGTTCCATTGACGGAACTACAAGTCTGACAGATCTAAACCAGAACTAAACCATAGCAGAATTTAAAGTCCCCGCTCACACTGCTACCTTAACTAGCAAAAGTCTGACTCTGAAAAACCGAACAAAATCTATATAACGGATGACACTGTAACTTTCGTAGTAATAAGTTCTTTTACTTGCCGCCATTTTGTTTGTGTATTTATATGGCATTACACAGTGCAATAAACTACAGGAGACTAGAGGGTGCATTGGAAGAATGTTAAATAAAGAAAAAACTATTTGCATTCAAACAAATCGATGTAAACCATACATTTGAGTTTATCGATAAAATCAATTTATCACCCCTAAATTGATTTATCAGCCCTACACTCACTTGTGAGATTGCATTTTCAGATGCTTCCTATGTAGACAACAGGCAACAAGACACCTTCTTTAGTACTGCAACATAGTCATAATGTAAGACATTTGTTTGTATTTCACTCTTTCAACAGTTTAAACTTATCGAGTGAAGAAGAAACAACAAACCTAAAGAGCTGGATTACAACCAAAAGGAGTGCTATGAGTTTCTGAGATTGCTCTTCTTTCCACTCCTGACTCATCTTCCCATTGGGCAGTGGATGGTGAAGAGCCAACAGGCCCCAGAGGAGCCGTGAGGTGTTTCTCACATCCTCATCTGCTAGGACACACTCCTCTTTTTATCAGTCCAGTCACTTCAAAAAGAGCCATCACCACAATGACTTCCCACAGCCGTCCAGGTAAGAGCTTCATCTTCTCTTACTCCTCTCAGAACAAGATAAACACTGTGGAATCAGCTTCGCTCCGGCTTTAGTGACCCTCGTCTGTAAATAAACCTTTCGTGATCCAGATGTGTGGCATCACAAGCCTGTTTTTCTCTTGGTGTAGAGTAGGCTAGTGTTTCTCTGCTACAGGAATGGCACGTGACTGGGATTTGAGGGTCGAAAATTGGCCTTGAGATGCCAGACAAGGCTTTTGAGCAGGTCCTAGAATTGACATTTGTTTTAGAATCTTGCTAGCTTTACCCAGGAATTATGTATTGCGAATTTCAATCCAAATTTTTATGTTTTCATAAGCTTTGAGTGTATCTGTACATCTTAAAATCTTTGATGCTTAATCATGAGGCTTAAAAGACTTGATGGTGCTTTTTTGCATGAACTAAGGTCTTAAATTGGACAGTGGAATGGTTTACACTGCAAATTCTGATGGCCTGATCACATGGCACAAGTGAGTTCGGAAGTGGTGTTGACGGGATTTTAAGACCCTGCAATTTCCGAAGCAGTTGTATGAAATTTTGCGCCAACACACTTAGGAAAACATCACTTTCATAGTACCTCTCTCTGTTTCTCTCTTTCTATTACATAACAGCTATTGATACCAATTGTGAATGTACACATAATATCCAGGTTGTTTTCATCATCTGGAAACCAGTATGCATGTAACTTAGAACTTTGTTCGCTGTATCCTCTTTCCAAATCTGTCATGGATGGCGCATCATACAGTTCTCTCTGTTTATCCTTCTGATTGGTCAACTTCAGATAAATGGACTGGTCGGCTTACTCGACTTCAGTTTTTTGTTTTGTTTAAAAATGATTGGAAATTGGACTGCATGATATTGGAAATATCTGATATTTTAAAATTGTATTTTTCTGCATTATATATAATGCAATATAAACACTTTTAGATGTTTCTTGGATGAAATGGACTTCCCAGGAAAAAAAAGTCAAATAGAGATATCACATTGTAAAAAATCATATGAAAAACTAATGACAACAAATGTTTTTATGTTACTTTAACTTATTTCAATAAGTTAATCAGGTTTCAATGAGATTTTTGTTAACTATACAAAGTTTAACTTAATGTTTTTAGTCAATATAGTAGGGGTGTCAAAATTAATTGTTTCTTCGGTGCACCGCGATGCAGACGAGGACAATAAGGTATCGGTTCAGTAATAATCATAACCGGTTATTATGTACTGACGTAATTTATCTCCTATGCGCTCTGTCGTGAGGGAGGTGAGCGCGAGTATTTACAACACTCAGCCAATTTAGGACCGGCCCGTGGCATAGGCACCATAGGCAAATGCTAAGGGTGCTGTATATCCAGGGGGGCGCCAGAAATGAGCGCGGTTCAGTTGGTTTTGTTTTCGATATTCCTGACACAAATTCAGTTATAGACGGCAATAACTCAAATACCTCTTACCCTAAAAATATCTAAAGTGTGTTTCCTACAAAAAGACAAAGCTGGTTATGTTTCACAGCTGTCTTTCTTTTTTTTGTGCTCGACATTACCAGCACTGCTCCGTTTAAGCCCTCGCAATACGTGTTTAGCTGGGAGAGCTCGCGCTGAGAAGAGCTCTCAGTAAGGGACCGTCGGAAAAGTGCTTGTTTTTTTTTTTCTTTTCATTTTTTTCGTTTTTCTGCTTCGCTCAGCGCGAGCTCTCCTTGTTGCGAGGGCTTAAGTGTGTGTGTCTGTGTGTGTGTATGTGTTTGTTTCTTTGGTGCTGTCTGTGTTTGAATGAGAGACAGTGTGGTACTGTATGTCTGTGTGTTTATACAGACAGCATGTTATACCCTCCCCCCTAAAATATAACACTGTATATGGAAAGCATCGTCAATGCACCGAGATATCGAATTGAACCGAATCGAAGGCATGATAATCGTAAGTGAACCGAACCGTGAGACCAGTATAGGTTCACACCTCTACAATTTAGTTGATTTAAGTTGAAATTACTAGAAAAGTTTATTTGATTCAACTTAAAACATTAAGGCAGTAATATTTTTTACAGTTCAATATTCAGGTACAGAAACTGAATAATCACATTGCAAAAATGCTTTTCTAACTTAGAGCTTTTGTCTCATTTTCAAATACATATATGAAATATAGTACAAATATTGTTTCGGAAGTAATAAGTATAAATAAAGGGTTTTTTTTTAAAACAAGCTAATTAATCTGCCAAATGGAGAAGTAAAATAATCTTGTTTTTGGGTTGAAATTTTGATATTTGGACTAGAAACAAGACAAAAATTCTAAGTAAGAGTAGTTGTTTTTTTGTTGTTTTCAATTTCTTGTGCCCAAATGTTTAAAACTTGCTTAAAATGCTTGGTCACAGGTAGAGGTGTACAATTAATCGTAAAAACATCGCAATCTCTATTCGACCCCCTAGACGATCTTTATTCAGCATTTCTACGATAATTTGAATTATATTTTTAAGTTTTGGAGAGAAGCAATGGTGGTCGCACAAGTCTTCACATTGTTTTACATACGTTGTTCAGCAACGTGGACGACTTCAAATGGTGTTGAAAGAGTCACATGCTTTATTTATAAGATAAAATTCACCTTAAAAATGTAGTTTCTGTCTTGTAATGTATTTGCGACCGCAAAATCACACGTGATGTGAGCTGACCATCAGCTACCACAGGGAGGGCCGGCATGCGCGCCTCTGAATGAAGTTTACATTAGTGAACCTACATAGACTGTGAATAACAGATAATAAAGTTGTAAATAACATTCAGTTTGTGGCAAAGACTGATCGTGAATCGGAATCTGCGTGGGAAGTGATCCGCTCTTATCAGTGAAAATGAAACCGAAAGCACACACAGTGTTGCCAGATGTAGCTGACTGATTCCAGCCCAAAAAGTATCCAAACCCCGCCGAAATGCAAAAATACCCACCCAGTCTTCTGTATTGATGAAAATCACAGCATTGATCAGAATTATCATCAGCATTAATGACCAGGATAATTCTAAAGTCTGTTCAAGTCCACAATTCCAAGTCGAAATTTAGCATTTTAACCAACAGTACAGCTACACAAAGCCTATTGCTTTACCACATGTTTAAGAATAATAATAATAATAGCCCACTCATATTAACCTTTATATTATATGTAAAAAAAAAAAAAATCAAGATTCATATTTTAGCCAGAGTCATGCAGCTCTAGTTGCAGGCCTTAAAAACTCATGCAAACAATACATTTTCACTCTATTATGGGTAAACTTTGTAGTGACCACAAATCACATGCGTTCAACTATAAACAAGACTCAACATTACAGATTTAGCGATTTGTGACTATTGTTGATGTGCACATTGCGATATCAATGCTAAAACAATATATTGTGCAGCCCTAATTATAAACTTGTAAGCCGCTTGACTCGTAATTTCATCTCGCACTGTACTGTTCATACGATCATATAAACAAGTACCATGCAGGGGTAATTGATCTCCTTAATTAAAAAATAGTGTTTGAGCTCGCATAACAGCACAATTTGTAATGCGTATACCTACCTTTAAGATTTATTTTGTCTATGTGCTGTGAAAATGAAAACTTTTCAATCAACTTTTAAAAATCACTTAGACTAGTTAAGCCTAAATTAGTGTTTTTTTTTCTTCAATTCAACTCAGGCTGTGTCTATTATCACAGATTTTTTTTCCCTCTTTCTTAAAAATAAAAAGCTCTGTCCACATGAAATTACCTCAAACAATAGATAAAATGGCATGCATGCCAAAGCCATGAGGCAAAAACTGTGGTTTCATTGACCCTACTGTTGCAGTACTAGACTTTTTGAAAATCTATACCCTGGTAGGTGTTTTTAACAGGATTCGGTTTCAGTCACCTGATACTGCGTTTGCATGTGGACAAACTGCCAATCTGCACACTGCAAAAACTTGCTGTTTCTAGTTCACTACCTGACAAAACTCATGTCGCCTATCCAAGTTCTAGGAACAACAAATAATAACTTGACTTCTAGTTGATCATTTGGTATCAGAAGTGGCTTATTGAAAGGCAAAGGCCTCTAGATTATGCGTATTATACCAAAATAAAATATATTTGTGTCTTGATTTTTAATTTTTAAAAGAAGACAGTAAGGTCTGACTTAACAGAAATAATGCACAGTGTGGAATATAAAGACATGATGCAGTAGAAAAATGATTAATATTGTGTATGACCCCCATGAGCTTGGAGGACTGCATCCATACATCTGTGCAATGACTCAAATAACTTATCAATAAAGCCATCTGGAATGGCAAAAATTACTCAGAGTTCATCAAGATTCTTTGGATTCATCTTCAATGCCTCCTCCATCTTACCCTAGACACATTCAATGATGTTCATCTCTGGTGACTGGGCTGACCAATTCTGGAGCACCTTGACCTTCTTTGCTTTCAGGAATTTTGATGTGGAGGCTTAAGCATGAGGAACGCTATCCTGTTGAAGAATTTCCATTCTCCGGTGATTTGTAATGTAATGGGCTGCACAGATGTCTTGATAATTCAGGTTGTTGATGTTGCCATCCACTCTGCAGATCTCTCACAGGACCCCATACTGAATGTAACCCCAAACCATGATTTTTCCTTCACCAAACTTGACTAATGACTGTGAGAATCTTGGGTCCATGCAGGTTTCAATAGGTCTTCTGTAGGATTTGTGATTGGTTTGCAGTTCAACAGATGATTCATCTGTAAAATCTACCTACTGCCACTTTTCCAAATGATCAACTTGAAGTCAAGGTTTTATTTGATGCTCTTACATCAAATAATGTTGACAACAGGTTTTTTTTGTCAGGCAGTGTACAGATGTCTAAGAAATTTTAAGTCAAGAATTATTTTCTAGACCAGCAAAAAAATATTTTGTTTTCTGAAAGAAGTCGTACAAATAGTTGATTTTTTCATAAAACAAGCACAATAATCGTGTTTGCTTTGAAATAAGATCAGTTTGCTTACCCCATTGGCAGATTATTTT